GCCCCCTATGGGGCTACGATCCTCGTGATAGGGTGCGCCGAAATGGCCCGAGGCCGCCGCGCGAACCCTGCCGCCGGCGCCTTCGGTGGAACTCCTATGGGGCCACGATCTTCGCAAGGGGCGCGCCGTGATGGCCCGAGGCCGCCGTGCGAACCTTGCCACTGGCGCCTTCGGTGGAGCTCCCTATGGGGCCACGATCCTCGTGAGGGGTGTTCCGAAATGGCCCGAGTCCGCCATGCGAACCCTGCTGTTGGCGCCTCGGCGGAGCTCGGCCACGATCCTCGTGGGGGGGGGGGGGGGCGACATCGCCCGAGGCCGCCCTGCGAGCCCTGCCACTGGGGCTTTCGGCGGAGATCCCAACGGGGCCACGATCCTCGTGAGGGGTGTGCCGAAATGGCCAGAGGCCGCCATGTGAGTTCCGCCGCTGGGACCTTAGGTGGAGCTCGTCATAGGGGCCACGAAGCGTGTGAGGGGTGTGCCGAAATGGCCCGGGGCCGCCATGCGAGCTCTGCAATTGGGACATCAGGTGGAGCTCCCTATGGGGCCACGCAGCGTTTGAAGGGTGTGCCGAAATGGCCCGAGGCCGCAATGCGATTTCCGCCATTGGGACCTTGGGTGGAGATCCCTATGGGACCACGAAACGTGTGAGGGGTGTGCCGACATGACCCGAGGCCGCCATGTGAGTTCCGCCACTGGGACCTCAGGTGGAACTCCCTATGGGGCCACGAAACACGTGAGGGGTGTACCAAAATGGCCCGAGGCCGCAATTTGAGTTCCGCCATTGGGACCTTAGGTGGAGCTCTTTATGGGGCCACGAAACGTGTGAGGGGTGTGCCGAAATGGCCCGAGGCCGCCTTGCGAGTTCCGCCACTGGAACCTTAGGTGGAGCTCCCTACGGGGCCACGGAACGTTTGAGGGGTGTGCCGAAATGGCCCGAGGCCGCCATGCGAGTTCCGCCATTGGGACCTTCGGTGGAGCTCCCGATGGGGCCACGAAACGTGTGAGGGGTGTGCCGAAATGGCCTGTGGCCGCCATGCGAGTTCGGCCATTGCGACCTTAGGTGGAACCCCCATATGGGGCCACGATCTTCGTGAGGGGTGTGCCGAAATGGCCCGAGTCCGCCGTGCGAGCTCCGCCATTGGGACCTTGGGTGGAGCTCCCTATGGGGTCACGAAGCGTGTGAGGGGTGTGCCGAAATGGCCCGAGGCCGCCATGCGAGTTCTGCCAGTGGGACCTGAGGTCGAGCTCCCTATGGGTCACGATGCTCGTGAGAGGTATGCCGAAATGGCCCGAAGCCGCCATGCGAGTTCCGCTACTGGGACCGTAGTTGGAGCCCCCTTGTGGGGTCACGAAACGTGTGAGGGGTGTGCCGACAGAGAGACATGCGGAGGGCAGAAGCAAGGAGGGGGAGGAGGGAGGAGGAGGAAGAGGAGGAGGAAGAGGAAGAAGAGGAGGAGGAGGAACGCGGGGCTCCGTCTCTTCAAAACGAGGACCCAACACCACAGGATGGTTGGGAACAAATCGTATCTAAAGTCCAGCACGCCTTGCCCCCCTGTGGCCAGGCAACAGGGGGCGGCTGATCCATTCCTGTCGGCACATCCCGCCACCGCCCTTGGCTCGTGGAGAGGTTGTTTCTTGGAAGCCTCTTCTTCAGGCCTCCTATATAGGGCCAGATCAAATGGGGTCGGAGGATCGCGCCGCGCCGCCGATGCATCGGCGATGCGGCGCGCTCTGGAGCCTGATTTTCTCGACCCGACGTTCGCCGACGCATCGCTACATCGGCGATGCGGAACGATCCCCCGACCCCATGTGCCGTCTCGGAGGCAATATTCGACTGGAGGGCTCTAATTGGCAATTCGAGATCCCTTTTTCGGGGCGCCTCTTGTGGCCTTATATACTCATTCAGAGCCTCGGAGGCCGTATTCGGCTGGCCTTCAGTGCCGTCTTAGATGCCCAAGGAAAAATTTGTTTCTGATGAGTTGGATCTCCTGAGCTGGCCCCCGCTGCCTCCAAGAGGGCCTCCAAGAGGGCCCCAAGAGAGTCCCAGGACGGCCCCTCCGGGCAACCGAGGACTTCTCAGTCTTGTTGATCCTTTTTTGGATGGTTCTGGGGGGACGTTGGAGTCGGTTTGGCCTGGCGTGGTTTCCCGGACGCCCACGTGAAGCACGCCCCAAAACGCTAACATGTTCTGGCAGTTCGATGGTTTGGCCTTGTGAGATTCCGTTTTTCCACACTCACATGTATGAGCCTGAGGGTACTCCACTACGTGCTGGATACAAAGTGGAAGATTTCTGCGTGTATGCAGAGCGTGGAATTTCTCACCGTCTAGGCGTTCCAATGCGTGATCTCGGTGACTTCGTTGGCCAGCCGTGTTGAGTTGGTCATGTCATTGGCGGTTGTTGAACGAACAGACCGAGGAGGACGGCGAAGACGAGGAGATCGAGGTCGTTTGGGATATGTGCTTCGCATGTGGGCGGGCATCGCCGCCGTGGACGAGGAGGACGAGTGCTCGCTTGGATCCTTGCACAGCTTCTTTGTATAATCACTACGTGCTCTTCTCTCTCCCCAGACTCTGTCCGAGCGGGGCGCCGTTCGTTCTGCAGACCATGTTCACACGCATAGGAAGTCAAAGTTGCTTTGTCATTTGCGTTTTTTCATATCGGAACGTCCTTGCTTTTTCACAATAGCATTCTCGCTGCAACGATGGCTTTATGTCAGCGTTGCCCCCGCGGTTCAGAATGGCACTCTCGCTCCAACGTAGGCCACACGTTTGGATCCGAGTCATTTCTCGTCGTTGTCGCCCCCCTCATTTCCTCTCCTGATGTTCCTCCGCCTCCGCCCTCATCCTCCTCTTCCTCCCGCTATTTGCGTTGGACAAATGTTGAGCGAGCTCGTAGCGATGTAGCTTCTTCCTCCCGCTCATCCGCCTGCTCCTCCCAAAGCTCCTTTTTCTGATTGCGCATAACACGATAGGGGTCATTTGGAGAGTGCCAGGTCCGGATATAGAGGCAAATCAGCACAATGGGAAGGACGCGAACGCACCTAGCTTGCGCCCTATGCGACATCCTCTCCCATCCCGCTCCTCCTCTCCCTCCCCCTGGTACCCGCTAATCCTCTTCTCCCGTTCCCTTCTCTTTCCCACGTCTCATCCACAATTACACAAATGAGTACTACTCTCCTCTCCCCTGACTCATGTCCAGAGAGTGTCCCGTCCTCTCCGCGTATCGTTTCTTACACCGGATTTCATTGTTTGGTATTTCTTATGTGTTTTTTCTGTGCTGTTGTTTCTGGTTGTTCCGAAATTGTGTTCCAGTTGCAGCGCCGCCCTCATTTCCGCGCTTCGGTCATTCAATATCGTGCTCCCGCTGCAGCGTTGGCCTCGTTCCCGCGCCTCCAGACGGCATCTGGCATTCGAAAACGCGCCCACATTGCGCAAGACATGGAGCCGGCATTCCAGACAGGCTTTGTCCTCTCGTAGACGGGCCACTTACCCTCCAAGTACAGGCCACTTACCCTCCAAGTCATCCAGTGTCATACCACGGCATTGAATTCGATGCCGTGTGGTGCACCGCTGCGAGATGCCGTGCTTTGCGTTTCTATGTTTTGTGATGCAATGTTTCACTACGCAATGCCACGCCATGCATGCTATGATCTGCCGTGCTCTTCTACGCCGCCATGCTTTTCCATCCATCGCGTACCCTCTTGGGATCATTGCCCCGCTCGGTATCCGATTGTGCGAATGGAAAGGAGATCTACGCCACGGTAAGGGATGGGAGGGAGGGGTAGGACGTCGGATGTGACGCTAGCGCACCTAGTTTGCTCTCCCCCCTCCCCCTTCCCATCCCCCTCACTCCCCCTCCCACCCCTTCCCTCCTCCCCCCTCACCGGCGATGTCCTCCCCCGTCCCTCTTCTCCTCCTCCACCCCTTCCATCGTTTCCCCTGCCTCCTTAATCCTCACCCGCGGGTGATGCGACCTGGAGGGCCCGGGGGGAGCGCACTGCGTGGGCCCACTCTGCTTGCCGCGGTGCCCCGCTCCCAGCCTCGACGAATGCGCAGTGCAGATCTTCCGGAGGTCCGCACGGATGTATTTCTGGATCGGCGGCAGGCACCCCTCTGCGCGCAGGGGGGGCGCCGGCGGCGCCGCCCAGTGGTCACAAAACCGTTTTTGAAGGAGTCCGGGCGAATCTCCGGAAGCCTGTGATTATGCAGGTGTGTCCTTCTTTCTCTGGGATTTGCTTACGATCGGGGGAGCGTAAGACCCGGGTTTGCCAGGACTCGGGTTCGCCATCGTTTTTTGACGACCGCGCCTCGGATTTTGACGAGGAGGAGTTTCGTGGGATGTCTGCAGCGGGAGGCCTCGTCAAAATGCAGGCTCGGCCTCGTCATTTTTTTGACGACCTCGTCGGGGATTTCCGAGTCCCCCGTACCCGGGTCTTACGTCTCCCCGATACGAATGCGAGGCTGGGTGGGGTTCGGGCGACACAGGCGGGGTTCCCCCTCTGGTCGCCCCATGGGTCGTTCCTTGCTGAAGCCGTCGCGGAGGGAAACAGGGGGAGGGGGAGGGGGAGGAGGAGGAGAAGGAGGAGGAGGAGGAGGAGGAGGAGGAGGAGGAGGAGGAGGAGGAGGAGGAGGAGGCCGCCCTGCTCAGTTTCGCAGAAAGGGCCCTTACCCAGGGGCTCGAAACGTTGCCCTCTCCAGGCAAAACCAATCAACAAACTGACCCCGCACCCTCCCACCCCTTCCCTCCTCCCACCTCCCTCCCCCTCTCTGATCCCAGTCCCAGCCACTGTTGGCTGGGTCGCACACTATCGTACATCCTTCGTACTCTCACTCGGTCCGCACACCACACGCATTTCCTCCACAGCGGAGCGCGCTCGCTGGAACCCCCCTGGCACCATGACCGCAGCGGGCGCCCGCCTTGTGGCTTTGTCGCAGCTGCTGACAGTCCCTGCCCTCGGTATCCAGACCTGGTCCGCCAGCGAGGCCATCCTCGGCGTGGATGAGCAGCTGGACAGGAAGCGAGGAAGAGAAATCGGCATCGACACAAACTGTCGAATGTCCGCAGGTTCTTGGAGCGGCGCGCAAATCCCCCTGGCGGCGCTTCCGGCGCCGCCCCTGGCGCCGGAAGTGCGCCAGTGAGGGGTGTTCAGCGCCGATCCAAGACATCCGCGCAGATGTTAGAAAGCCTCTGTTTGCACAGTCTGTTGTTCGTCCAAGGAAGGCCGGCCTGGGTGTGATGAACAGAGCTGGCGTCACTCAGTACCACCGCCACGCGTTCAGCGCGGCCAAGGGGGCCACGAGGGCCGACGGCAAGTTCTTCTGGCCCGACCCTGCCAACCGCGAGGGACAGGGATACTCCGGCGCGGCGGACCTCACGGACAACGTCTCCTGGGGTTGTCAGGAGAGGAAAAAACACACAGACACAATTAATCCTCGATTCCTCAGAAAATATGGGAAAATATGGGAAGTGGGGGGGAAGACAGAAACCCAGAAAATATGGGAAAATATGGAGAATAGTTTTATTTGTGTGTATTTATTTGTGTGTCCTGGGACCCCTTCAGGTTGGCACCACCCGAGCGGCATCTACAACACCATCCCGGTCGGAAGCCCGCTCATCGATGACCAGTTGAACATCTACTTGGGGGCGGACGACGCCATCCGGAAGTTCGACATTACGGGCGAGATCAAGTGGAGTTACGCCCCGCGCGGTCAGCTCGCGGCGGCGCCCACCCTCGTCGCTGCCAGCAGCAGGCGCTATGCGGCCCGTTTGAATAGCGACATGAACATGGAGGAGGAGGAGTTGTTGCGGCCCGAGTGGGCAAAGGACAACACGTCTGCCTTCCGTTTCTTCAAGGACTTCAAAGTCGGTGACGTTGTCAAGGTGAAGCCTGGCTTGAGCTACCGGGCAGACGGCAAAGAGCTCTACAAGGAAGGTGACCAGGGGTTCATCGCTTCTTTCGCCCCAGGGGATGGCAGGGCCGTAGTCCAATGGACGAGAACGGGACACAAGAGCGTGCTGGACCTCCACGCCCTCAAGAATCGTTTCGTGCGCGTGCAGTCGACGAGCGACGAGGCCTCATTGCCTCCCATGCTCGTGGGTAGCACCACCGCTGGCTACGTGTTCGCGATCGACCTCGAGAACGGAGAGGAGCTCTGGGCAACTTGGGCCTCGAACGATATTGCGGGCGTCAAGGGGGCTGTGGCAGCCAAGGACGGAATCGTAGTGGTCGCAACTGACAGATGCACTGACAGGTATTGCTACAGGTACCGCAACCAGACCAATCCACTTACGCCTGGCAATTCCATTGTGCGGGGCTTGAGCGCTGCGGACGGCAGCGCCGTGTGGGAATACAAAACCATGGCGCCTGTGTGGAACATGGTCCCGCTATGGGGCCAGGACTCCAACGTGATGTTCCAGGATGGGGAGGGCAGGATGTACTCCCTGGACTTGCAAACTGGCGCTCTCAACTGGAGGGCCGGTGGAGACATCGGTACATACACCAACGCAGCCGCCGCATATAGCTCTGGCCACAACGCCGTGTTCGCCCTCGGCGTGGCCTACTACGATGCGGGCATTCGCCCTGGCCATACTAACAAGTTCTGCAATCCTTATGTGGCACCTGGCATTCTTGTCAATTGCTTCACGTGGCCAGGAGCAAGGGGCTGGGTCCGTGGCTACAACGCCACGTCGGGCAGGAAACTCTGGGAGACGTCAACACCAGAGCCGCCAGCCAGCGCCGCCGTCCTCATGCTCAACAGTCCGAGTCTGCACACACGCTTGGTGGTCCCCGTGAGGGAGGCAGAAGCAGCAGCAGCCAGATGGGGTTGAGGAGGAAGAGGAGGAGGAGGAGGAGGAGGAGCAGAGCAGAGCATGGCCAGGAGATGGATGAGGAGGAGAATAAGGTCACGATGGGCTACAATTGCTGGCACAACTCCCCAACGCAGATATGGTCCCTCGACCCGCACAACGGCCACATCCGGTGGCTCAGAGACGGCCCGACGCTGTGGTCGGGCCAGTGTGCCGGCGACAAGGACGGCGCCGACATCCGCAGGGCTATGGGTGGCCGGGCTGCTTGCCATCCGAACAGTTGGTCCGCACCAGTGGCCGATTCGAACGGCGACCTGTACGTTGGCAACCAGATCGGCGAGCTGCAGAAGTGGGGCTCGCCGACTGGGCTTACAAGGGACGTCCAGCTGCTCTCGACCTTGACCACCGGCCACGCCTTCCAGGATGCGGCCATCGCGTTCGGCAACGGCGTCATGGCCATTTCCACGTGCACGTCCCTCATTGTCTTGCAGACTCCTGCCAACTACTTCGCGAATGAGACTTGGACAGTCACGGCCGCACCGAACGTTGACGGCATGCCGGGTGCACCGAACGTTGACGGCATGCCCGAGGGCTTCAACCCTGCTGAGTGGCGCGTGACAAAGGATAACGCGTGACTGGGAGCAATTACGCTTTGCAGACAGACGCAGGTCTTCAAATTCTTGGCGCTTCGCGTATACCCACTAGCATGCCCAGGATTTGTTGTCCAGAGAACAGATAACATAGTGAAGCAAAGAGTCCAACAAAAGTGAATTTACATACCTCTGGGAGACACTTCGGAGTTCTCTGACGCTTGGGGCCCCTTTGGAGGCCCTCGAGGCGCTCTTGGTGCTCTACTGGGGCTATCTTGTCGGAGTTCACGGAGCAATAAAAGGAGCGACGTCGATTAGGGTCCCCCCGTCAGAGCCCGAAGCACCGCCTCTTGAGACGCTATTGGGGTGCTCTTGGATCCGCCCTGAGGCTCCATTAGGCGATCTTGGAGCCATCCTGAAGCCTCAGAAGCCCATCGGAAACGAAAAGGCGAGAGGGCACAAGCAACTGAAAAAAAACCTTGACGGTTTTTCCCCAAAACAGTGTTCGCACTTAAGGTTTCTTCTTTGTGTTCTAGGGAACTGGGGGGGTTGTCAGTCTGGCGGATCCGTGCCCGCCATCGCCGCCCCGTCGCCGCCTCGTCGCCGCACGTCGTCTGGACCTGACTGCCGGTTTGGCGGCTATGTTGTCGCGGTCACCGTCTCGTCGCCGCCTAGATTAAACAACGTAGATTGCACCGCACATAATATATATATATATATATATATACATAAATAGATACATTTGTCCATTCATTTCTAAAAGATCAATGGGATCTACCCCCTCCCCCTCCCCCCCGGATCTAACGGAACCCACTTTCGCATTGCAATGTGCATGTGATTCTGCCCCAGCGTCCACCCTTAATACGAATCCGTACCATCCCATGCAGGCCAGAAGTTCCCCATTCATCCTCTGCAAGAAATAGCGCGCGCGCTCGTTCATCAATAGTCATCAGCATGCAAAAACCCCGTGCCCCCCCCCCAAAAAAAAAACTGGACGGAGTGCACACGCGCGCCATGCCTCAATCCTTCTATCAAAACTCCCGTTTCCGTAATAATTTCAACATCGAATGTCCTGAACACGTGTAAGAACATATGGTTGTACAACATCAGACTTCAAGAAAAGCATGCGCTCGCGGCCTTGCGAATTATCAAGAGTACCACATCTATGTGTACATATATATATTGGTATATACATATGTCTATACATATCGTGTGCATTGAGTTGTGCCAAACGACCTCTCCGCGCCGCACGCCGAAATCCTTGACGACGCCAGATGTCGCAGGGATGTCAAAATCGAACGCCCCGGAAGCATGTAAAAAACACATGGTTCTGCGACATCAGATTTCAAACACAGCCTGCGCATGCGGTCCTGCGAATTCTTCAGGGATCGCGCCTCTCGCATGCAACCAGTCATCGCCAAGCAGTCATCGCAATCGCCGCCGAGTGGGTTTTGCAAACCAAATTGCGGGTGGCCGGGCGGGGCGGTCGCGCGGGCGGCGGAGTCGACAATTCCAAATTCGGCAGAGCGAATTGCATGCGCCACATAGATTGCAATGCCGACATTGCACGGCGCAAGCAACACAACATACATTCTCTGTTCCTTCTTTTTCACAAGAATGATGGGACCCTCCCCGCCCAGACTTAACGCCCCCCTTTTCAAGCAGTGGCAAAGCGTCCTGGCTCGCCTATAGCCGTACCACACAATGTTCTAAATGTCCCTAGTGATTTCCACGAAATGTTATTCGAACATGTTTGGCGGAGCTTGTCTTGTTTTATTACACCAGGTTTACGCTCTAAGAGTATCGTTTTTGTTCTTAGAACATATTTGGGTTCTAAGAACATTTCGTGGCAGGACTATAGAGATGCCGGGACGGTCGATCCCTGCTCATTATTTCGCAGTGTTTTTTGCATATGGTTCTGCCCCGTCGCCTATCCTTAATGCGAATGCGTATCTTCCCCGCCAAATTGCCGCCCCCGAGTGCCAAATCCTTTACGAACATTGAGACGAAGTGCGCGCGCGCCCGCGCATGCCGAAGTCCATGAGGGTTCGTCTGTCAGGCGGCTGCGTGCTCGCCGTGGCCGCCCGGTGGCCGCCTCGTCGCCGGTCGTCGTTTGGGCCCGACTGCCGGTCTGGCGGCCGCGTTGTCGCGCCGCCTTGAATTGTCAAGCGTAGATTGCACCACGAAAATTCCCCCATCCAAATGAGCATCAGGGCCCTCCCCCCCCCGGGTCAACGGCGCATGCGTTCGCATTGCAGTTTGCGTGTGATTCTGTCCTATCGCTCATCCTAAATATGTGCCCGTGCCATCCCAGGCAGGCCAGAGTTGCCCCCCAAGTTTTTTTGCCACAAATATTACGCGCATGCGCTCGCGCATAAAAAATAGAAGTTCCCTAATCAGATTTCGCTTCTGTGGGGGCCCGAGCGGATTCATATAGTTAGGTGAGGTGGGGCGCCGATTTCGGCGGCGCGCCCGGGTGCCCCGTTACCTGGTAGCCATATGGCCTTATAACAGTACAGCCCTATTGCCTTATTGCCCTATTGCCCTACAGCTTGGAGGGTGAAAGTGGGGGTCGGGCGCAGAGTCCCGGCGATGGTGTCTTTATGCGCCATGCATGGGCGATGCATCTTCGATTGTTGTGTTCGGCAGGGAAACCGATAGAAGCTCCCCGCCTGCACCCATGCGCGAGACTCGAGGGTAAACGAAGCAAGGGGGCGGGGGGCCCGGGAAAGGCGACGAAGGCAACGTTCACTGTGGGCACAAAACGAAAGCGGCGAGGTGAGTATCAAAATTTGCCCAGCCAGTCTGACACGCAGAACGTTGCGCTTCAGTTTTGGGAATCACGAAGGCCAGGGCGACATGTGAATTCAAGGTGTGGGGAAAAGCAAAATTTGAATTTACTTTTTGGGGGGAAATATGAATTCACATGTTGAAAAATCGGAACATGTGAATTCACAGTTTGGGTTTTCATGTAGGAATCTGGATGAATGGGCCAGAATGTGAATTCACATTCTGGGGAGAAGGAACATGTGAATTTACAGTTGGGGGAAAAAAGAAAATGTGAAATCACATGTTGGGAGAATCGCGGGAACCAATCCAAGTGTGCCTTGGGGGTCGACAAGTCATCGTGTTGGAACATACACTATCATCAATCGCACAATCAAGACACATTTGCACTCCACTTCGCCGCCCCATGTGCCATCTGCAGGAACGCCCACACGCATGAACAATAATGGATGGACGGCGCGTTTGCACGCGCGGGCAACGCGCGGGCACGAACGACTGGCCAATCATACCCGATCACACACATGAACGATACATTGAGCATACATGGGCCAATCAAGCCCCTTTTGAAGACCCCCTGTTGCAGACCCCCTCTTTCACTTTCCAAATAGCCCTATAGCCCTGCAGCCCCATAGCCTTATCACCCTATAGCCGTATAGCCTTTCAGCCCTATAGCCCTATAGCCCCAGAGCCTTACAGCCCTAGAGCCCTATAGCCCCATAGCCCTATAGCATTGAACAGTTTATGCTTGGGGTTTTTCTCCGGAATCAATTTCAGTTATCCTTCCGCAGCAAAAAATGGAAGAAGTGCACGCGCGCGCGTCGTTGCGCGCGCGCCGGAATCTTTCAAAAGCATCGGGCATCGTAGGAGGATTACACCCCAGAGCGGCGCGTACACATATAAAACCACATGGCTTCGCAACAAGAAGCTAGACAACAGTTAGCGCCAACGCTCTTGCGAATCCTTAAGAGACACCTGGTTTTCAAAGTGTGCATAACATGCTTCCAAAATTGGCCTTTTCGCCCGCGCGCGTCGAAATCGTTCGAGCTCCCCTGCGCGCGCGCCGCCAGAACAAAAAAAAAAAAAAAAAAAAAAAAAAACGTCATCGCTGCCATCGCCACCGTCATCGCTGCTCCCCATAGTCGTGCCCACCTTCGTCGGCGTCGCCATGATACCGCGGCCGCCCAAGTCGCCGACTCGCATTGAAGTGCCCGCTTGGAAGTGCCCGGCGGTCAGCGGCCGCGCCGGCTGCTCTGGACAAGCTGGCCGTTTCGCGCATGAGCGCCCGCGGACTACCGCGGCAGCGCAGATGCACCAGCCAATGCCGAGCACCCATCGCAATCGCCGCCGCGTGGGCGCCGCCGCGTGGGTTTTGCAAGCCGAGTCGCGGGTGAGCGGGCGGGATGTTTGCGACAGCAGTGGGGTTGACTATGTGAAGTTGGCAGGGTGAACTTCGCCGCGTAGATTGCACAACGTAGATTGCGCATTGCACAACATAGGTCCCACTTCAGACATTCTCCTTGCTTAGAAAAATCTGGATCCACCGCCCTCCCGGCGCGCCCTGGGGATGTGCATTTGACATGTGATTCTCCCCCATCGTCCACCCTATGCAGGAATCTGCGCCGCCCCAGCAACGCCGGACTTCGCCCCTTCCCCCCCTCATCGTTTCTATAAAATCAGAAGCGTTCAGAATCCCCTTTTCCAAAAAACAAACGGGATAAAGTGCGTGCGCGCGTCGTCGCGCGTGCATGCCGAATTTGCTCAAAAGTCTTAAGGGTTTTTTGACAACGCCTGCGCCCGCGCTCTTGCCAATTCTTAAGCAAACCATAGGTGCTTCACCATGTTTAAGAAACTGCTACAAGACGGGCCCCTCGCGCGCGTGCGTTGAAATCGATCGAACGCCGTAGCGCGCGCCGTCGGACAAATTTCCTTGCAACAGAAACAAGCGAAGTGCACGCGCGCGCATATTCGCGCGCGCGTGCCGAAATCCTCCAGCAACTCCTAGGCTACGTACGGATTTCAAAAACGAGTGCCCCGAAACCATATCAACAACACTTGCTTCGCAACAAGGGTTTTCAGACAAGCCTGCGCCCGCGCTCTTGCGAATTCTTTTTTTTCAATTAAAAAGCAACCACCGGTTATACTACGCATTTAAGTATTTATTGTATTTGTTCAACACGTTCATCATATGCTGCCAAATTGGCCTCCCGCGCCGCATGTCGAACTCATTCAAACGCCTTTGCGCGCGTGCTTGGCGGGGGGGGCACGATCCGTGTCAAATAATACACGCTGGCCATTCGCGCGCGTCGGCCGCGCGCGAATGTCGAACTCTTTCAAAAGCCTTCTTCGCCGACGCGAGGACATCGTCATCGTTATCGGCGGTCGTGATCGACATCGGCGCCGTTATGGCTTTGCCGTTGTCATCACCACCATCGTAACCATCATCGCTACTCGTAATCTCGTCTAGCGTTGTCGACGTCGCCATGCTACCGCGCCCGCCCAAGTCGCCCACTCGCACTGAAGTGCCCGCTGGGAAGTGCCCAGCGGTCAGCGCCAGCGTGGTCGCGTCGGTCGTACCAGACTGGCTGGCCGTTTCGCGCGCGAGCATGTGCGGGCTAGCGCGGCCGCACAGACGCACCAGCCAACGCCAAACATGCAACGCAATCGCCGCCGCATGGGTTTTGCAGACCAAGTTTCGGGTGGGTGAGTAGGGTGTTTGCAACGGCATGGAATGTATCAACTCGTAGATTGCACCATATAGCACAATATCGGTTGCACAACTTCTACTGCACCGCGCGGGTTGCACTTAAAATGTTGTTCGTTGTAGACTGTTCCACGGATCTTGCGAAACAGAAATTACACAACATTGACTGATGCGACATTGCACAACATGGGTTGCACTACGTAGATTGCACCACATATCGCTCAACATGGATTGAAATACGTAGGTTGCTAGAAAAAACCGTTTGGGGCCCACGTCGGCTAGCATTGTGCAACATATGGGGCCATTCGGGGCTATTTGAAACCATCTTGGAGCCATCCGGGACGCGTTGGCCCTTCGCGAAAGTTTGATGTAAACACCACCAGGGGAGGGGTGGTGGAAAGGTGGACAAGAATATATTCCTATATACTCAGAGGACGAAGGAGATGTGAGTCCATATCTCTTCAAACCACCTGCGTCCACAAGGCTGGAAGGAGTTCGCATACCCCGTCGGAACGGACACACGGGCCGATTCCTTTTGCTTCGTTCGCCGGCTATGAGGCGGTGTGTGGGTTTTGTGGCCCACGACCCGCCCATGAGAGCGCTTTTTGCTTGGGGCGATAACGAGCGTAACCGGGGGGGAAAGGGGGCGAGCGGCCGGTAACATCCCGGTTCACGCCGGCGCCGTGTGGGAACGTTTACGGAATAACCGAAGCCAGCTTGGAGGTCAGCACGAATCGTCACGCTACCTAAGGGGAGGGGAGGGGGACGGCCGGGCCGGTAACGGCCGTTATCGCGAACATTAAAAATCGCTTTCCAGTCCGTTCGCGTGCGCGAGGTTTCTCCTGGTCTTTCATTCGACAGCTCGATGGAACAAAATTATGTTAGTTTCTCTCTCTGTCTCTCTCTCTCTCTCTCTTTCTCTCTCTCTCTCTCTATCCCTCTCTCTTTCTCTCTTTCTTTCTTGCGCAGCCTGTGTTGAATGGTTTGGTCTAGCTCGTCGCACTCCCACCCGTCCCCCCCCCCACACACTCGCCTCACCCTTCCCCTCCCGCCCCTCGGGCCGACGGCCACGCGACGGTCTGTCTCACCGTGACGGAGACGGGTCCCGAGGGAAACGGACCCTGAATTCCAAGGTTTTTCCCCGTGACCAGGTTCTCAGTTTGGTTTGTCATCTTGACAACCCCGCCGCCGGGGGAGGGCCCCGGGAGCCCCCAAAAAGGGCGGGAGGAAGAACGGGATTTGTTTGCTTGATGGCGATTTGCCATTCGGTTTTCGGGGTATGACTCTGGTTTTTGCCTGCGGTCCGCGACGGTTCGCCCGCCCGCCCCCCCCCCCCCACACCACGGAACGCTCTCAGCGAAGCGTAGCTGTTGGATCGCATCCCAGGGCTGGAAAGCCGACGAGAACGTGTGAAAACCTCCAAGGCAAAAACGAACATCGAGGAAGACCGCCGCCCCCGGGGGGGGGGGACCCTCCCCCCCTGCTGGACCTGCCCCCGCCGCCCCCGCACCAGCTCCCCGTGGCGCTGGGCGTCGTGCGGGAGCTGGAGGACCGCCTGCGCGCCCTCGAGGCGCCTCCTCCCGACCACCGACGATCAGGAGCGAAAGAAGGACGTACATGTACATGAATCCACGCTGGTTTCGAGAGTACGCATTGCGCAAATGTTCGTAGAACGCGGCCGGCCTCGCGGATCGGGGGGCCGTGTTCATGTACATAGCTGGGCGCGTACGTCCTCTGTGGGCTCGCTAGACGACGGCGAGGGAGACGAGGGGGCGGCGGCGGCGAGGAGGAGCCCCGCGGACGGAGCGGACGGAGAGAGGCGTCGACGGGGGAGCACGAGGGGCGACCGGGGAGGACGGGCCGCGCGCCCTCGCGGAGCTCCTCCGACCACGACGATCACCACCCACCAAACCACCCCAACCCAACCCGAAGGTCCAAATTTTTATCCTCGATTTCCAGTGGGGGGGGGTCGGGGAACGTGGAAAAGACACGTGGTATCCGTACCCCCCCCCCACCCGAAATTCGGGTCAAATTCGAGTCTTCGGGTTGGGTTGGGGTGGTCTGGTAGGTAGTCAGACGAGGACGCAAGGGCGACTGCGAAGGGAGCTTGGGCCTCCCACTCGGGGCGTTTCAACGAAGGACTTCCAGACGAGAACCCTCCGTCATCAGCCGGCGTGTCGTCGCAGGGGGCCCGTCGTGGAGTCGGTCGTCCCGCTGAAAGGATTCGACGTCTCGGTGTTGCTACAACACCGTGTCTGGAAGGTCGCCGTCTCGAGGTGTCAGGAGGTATCCAGAGGCTTCTGGAGGCCCAAGGGCCAAATTGGTCCAAAAACCTTGATCGGGCCTCCATCATCGATCCTCGAACCATGCTGCCTCGATCCTTGAACGTTCTTCAATTTAACATAGATCCTCGCAGGCCTAGGATGAAGACAACTCGCTCCAGAGCGTTTTGGAATGCTCTCGGAGCGTCTCGGAGCGCTCTGAAACAGCTGCGCGCGCGCCCGGTACGTCCCCCAGACCCGGCAGCTCTCGGAGATCCCCAGCTACGCACCCCGATCCCAATCTTCGGTTGTTGCCAGGGAAAGTTGGGGGCACCTTCGGCCAGGGAGACTTCCGGCAACTTCCGAACAGACCTGGCAGTTCTTGGGTTCTTGGAGATTTGAGATCCCCGAGCTACCTCGACCCCAATTCGGAGGGAGTCAGCACCCACAACGATCTTGGCCAGGCTGATTGTTGGGCGCCCTGGCCGTGCCAGGAGGGCGAATACGCCGATCCTGAGCCGATGATGGGCCTAGCCAGGATCGGCGCAGGTGGACAGCTGGCGCCCTCGTCTCGAACGAAGGATTGCAAACAAAAAACCAAAGGATTGCAAAAAAACCCTTCGGTTTTTTGGAATCCTTCGGTTTTTTTGCAATCCTTCGTTCGGTTTTTTTGCAATCCTTCGGTTTTTTTGCAATCCTTCGTTCGAGTGGGCGGCAAGCGGGCCACCTCGGATCCCCGCGCCGCCAGGGCGCCATCGAGGGCGCGGGCGCCGCCGCCGGCAGCCCAGCAGCCGTCGCTGGCGGCCGCCTCGGCGGCCTCCGCTGGCCGGCCGCGCCGCGGCCCCGCCAGCGCCGAAGCCGTCGCGTCGCCCTCGCCTCGGCGGGATGCTTCAGCCGGCGACGCCGGCGTCGCAGGCTGCCGCCGTCAATCGTCGCCTCCTCGGACGTTGGGCGTCCTCGTGCAATTACCGGTACGGCCAAGATGGGTAGGGAACGAGTAGATGCCAATTCTTCACGCTTCGCGTTCTTGGCGCCGCAAGGGCGACTCACTCCGTTGCACTCGCACTCGTGGCCGCTTGTACACTTTGGTTGACTCGGCGGCGCCTAGGTGCGTCTGCTATTAAATGCTGAGCATTTTGTTCAGTGCATGTGCACCGCACGCTCTGTCTGCAATTAGCTTTGTGCCGCCCGCCCCGGACATTGCCTGTTGCCGCCAGACCGTCGTCGAGCGGCCGCCGACCAAAAAGTATCCCCGGCTTTTTTTTGCTGCACCCCCCAACTCGCCGGCTTGCCCGCCGAGGTGCCGCGTGAGGCTCCGGCCCATCGGTTTTAGGTTAATTCGTCTTTGCGCGGCCCGCTCTGACTCGACTCGCCGCTGGCGCTCTCGCCTGCGGCTGCTGACTGAAAAGTATCCCCGCCTTTACGCCGCCCGACCTGTCTCGCCGCGGTCGCGATCAAAAAGTATTCCCACCAGCATTGTTCTCCTGTTTGTTCCTCCCCCCGCTGTCCTCTCGTCGCCTCCCTTCGTTCCCCGAGTCGCAATTAGCTCGTAGCTTGCTTGCTGCGACCTTCGACGGCGCCCGGCGTCCTCCGATGCGCTCGCGATCAAAAAAGTATCCCCACCAGCCCACTCACAAACCTTCCATGAGAGCTTGACGGGAAAAGGGACGAAGAGACGCAGGTAGTGAAACACAAAGCGGGCAACCAGGGAGAACAGAAAGATCGTTGGGAGCAAGGGGGGTGGCCTCGAAGGGCCCCGTCGGGCCGTCCCTGGGGCCCGCGTGGGGGCGACGAACGGCGGCGACCACGACCACGGCGTGAAGGAGGAGGAAGACGACGACGGCGACAATGACGACAGCGACGACGACCACCACGACGACCACGACGACGACCACGACGACGAGGAAGAGCAGGAACAGGAAAAGGAAGACGATGACGGCAAGGACGAGGACAAGGACGAGGAGGAGGAGGACAACGAGGACGAGGACAGAGCCCCAAAATCGCCTCTTGGAGCCCTCTTGGGGCTCTTTTGGTGGGTCTTGGGGCCCTCTTGGGGCCCTCTTTGAAGCCCTCTTGGAAGTCCCTCGGGAGCCCTGGCGGGCCTCTTGGGGCAATTTTGGAGGCTATCGATCAACAGGGGGACGGCCCTAATGTTCGTCCCCCCCTTGGGCCATCAAAATCGCCTCTGGGGCCCTGGGGCCCTCGTGGGCCACTCTTGGGCCGCTATTGGGCGCTCTTGGGGCCGTCTGGTCCGCACTGGCTGCCGATTACCATGTAGATGACAATATAGCTGCCTGCGGCGAGTCCCGCCACCGTGCCAGCCCCGCATTCTTGGTGGCGACTGTTCGACGGGGTGTGGGAGGCCGTCACTTGTGAAACTTCATGTTTCCAGGCGTGGGAGGGCTGCGATGGAGATGGTGAGGATGATAGGGGATGACGATGATGCTGATGCTGATGCTGATGATGACGATGACGATGACGATGACGATGACGATGACGATGACGATGACGATGACGATGATGATGATGATGATGATGATGATGATGATGATGATGATGATGATGATGATGAAGCTGGTGGTGATGATGGTGATGGTGGCGATGGTGATGGTGGCGATGGTGATGGTGATGATGCTGATGCTGATGCTGATGCTGATGATGATGATGATGGCGACGGGGATGGCGATGGTAATGGTGATGATGATGATGACGGGGATGGCGATGGTGATGGTGATGATAATGGTGATGGCGATGGTGGTGGTGATCTTGGCCATGGTGATGACGGCGATGAAGGTGATGACGAATGCATTAACCACTGCACGGAGCTATGGCGGGGGAACAGCGACGAGCGCGACGGCTGTTCCCGAAGCTGTTTGGGGTTAAGTGAGGCGGCGCTTCCCCCCCCCGCTCCGCACGCGCCCAGGGCCGTCAATCTCGTGGCCTCGCCCAGAAGCGAGGGGGGTTCGTCGCCTGTGAGAGCCGACTAATAAGCGGGCCCCGCCTTGCGCGGTGTCAATTACCCCGCGCACCGGGAAGGGGCGAGGAGCCCGCGGGGCGCCCGCGGGGGGCAGCAGGCGCGGGCAGGTTGCGCTCCGCGCCGCGGGCCTTGCAGTAGAGGCTCGCCTCCCCATTAAATGCCCAAGGGCGAGGTTGCGCACGGCCCCGCGGGGGCGCCCAGGCATCCTGAAGCCCGCCGTTTCCGCCAGTCCGCCAGGGAGTGGCGTTCAGGGCGAAGTTTGCAAACGCCGAGGGCAAGGGTAAGACGGTGGTCGGACACAGCCCCGCGGGGGCAGGGCCACCTCCAGCGGTGGTAGAGCGCAAGACCCGCCAGCGGAGGCAGAAGACGAAGGTGGGATTTGCAGTGAGAAGCAGGTTCCAGTGGCTTCCGGCACCGACCAGCCGACCGCCTGGCGGCTATGCTGCCGGCGGGATCAGCAACGGCCCCGCCCCCTCGCGGTGCCCGCCGAAACCCGAAGACCCTTGGGGGCACGGCTGGAGGGAACCGATGGACGTGCACAGGCAGCGGCGATGAGAGGCCGTCTTCGTCAAGGGGCACTCCCGCTGAGGATGCAGCACCGGCACCTAACCGAAAATTGACGATAATAACTCCCGTGGGATAATGAAATTCGCGGTTCCCGCGGGGATTCTAAAGGATTCCCCGGGGAAGGTAAGTTATGATGATGATGATGATGATGAGGAGGACGACGATGATGATGATGATGAGGATGAGGATGAGGATGAGGATGAGGATGAGGATGAGGATGAGGATGAGGATGATGATGATGATGATGATGATGATGATGATGATGATGATGATGATGATGATGATGATGATGATGATGATGACGGTGACGATGATGGAGGAGGAGGAGGAGGAGGAGGTTAAACCAGGCGCACGACAGAAGCCTGACTCGAGCGATCTCGAGGCTCGTGGCTAATTACTTGCCCGCAGAGGTGCACTACACAGAGTTTACTCGAGAGATCTCGAGGCTCGTGGCTACTTGCCCGCAGAGGCGCAGGACACAAGGCTGACTCGAGAGATCTCGAGGCTCGTGGCTGGGCGCCTAGATTGTGCCAGCGCAAGAGAGGTCCTTGGCCGATCTGGCCAAGAAACCCCTCTTGCGCTGGACTTCGAACCACTCTCCCACGCAAGCACGGCATCCTTTGGAGCCCTCCTTGCATGGGAGACACTTGGTGCAAAGCTGGGCGGCGGCGCCAGCCTCCTCGTAGCTGCCGTACTTTCGCTCGGCCGCCGCGGGGTCCTTGCAAGGCCTGGACGTGCGCTGGGCCTTGGCCTTGGCCTTGTCCATCGCCACGTCGTTGTCGCTCGCCTCCTTGGGTTTACTGATGAACTCGTTCCTTCGAGCGACCACGGCGTTGAGATGCGCTGGCATTTGGCGGCCCTCGCCGCGGATCTCGCGCAGGGCGCATTCGATCCAGCGGCTTGCCCAGAGGCCGCAGCTCCAACCGTCAACTTGGCATCGTCTGTTGCTCGGTGCTGGGCAATGCTTGCCAGGGCCAATGGCGCCGAACTTGCGGAGGATCCCCGTGGCGGCCTTGGGAGGCCACGTACGAACCCGATCCACGATTTCTGAGGAGGAGGAGGAGGAGGGCGGGGTAGACTTCGCTCGGCAGCTCCCGAGCAAAGTGAACCCCACCTTCCCCCTCAGAAATCGTGGGGTGTGGGCGTGAGTTCGCATGTGGCCCTTTTGGGCCTGCTTGGCGTTTTCGGACGGCTGCTTGAGGGCGTCGCGGTAGTCCACCCCCGTCGATCCTCGAGACCTGGCGGGAATTGCCGCAAGTGCCCCCTGCTCAGGGCGCCTCCAGGATTCGCTCCAAACCGGAGCGAAACGCTGGAGGCACCCTGGGGTGGAGGGGGGCATTGCAGCAACCGCCGACCTTGAGGTACGTGTAGTGCGCGGGCGCCTCGGAGTGCACGCAGACCAGCACGTGCTGGGCCTTGTCGACCCTCTCGGCCCAGCGTTTCTGCTCCTCGGGCTGCTGGGCGGCGGGTGCGTCCTGGCCCTGGCCCTCTCGAGCCCAGGCGACGGCCACCGTGGGCTCGACCACCGGCACGTTGTCGGGGACGCCCACGCGCTCCTCGATCTCGCCCAGCAGCGCGCGCATCGCGCCCAGCTCGAGGGTGTCGCCCTTGACGATCTGCTCGCAGTTCATGTTCGCGTTCTCCTTGGCGAGCGCGGTGCGGCGAGCGTGTCTTGTCTGGCGCCAGTCGAGCTTCTGCGGCTTGGGGAACTTGTAGTCCTGCTCGATCGTGACCTGTGGCGCTCGGGATTCGCCGGCTCTCGTTAGCTTCTGCCTGCTTCCGCTTCCGCCTGCTTCCGCCTGCTCCCGCCTGCTGCCTTCGACGCGACTCCCATTGCCTCGGAAGTTCAGCGGGGGCCCCAGCACAACCGTGAAAACGGCGCGGCGCGTTTCCAATCCGAAACGAGGCCTTGAAAACGGACAAGGGGCGCGGAGCGACTGGCCGACAGGCCACAGCTCCGCTCCCGCGCGCCCCCGCCCCTGCGGGAGCGGCACCTGCGAGGGCGCCCCCCCCCCCCCTCTGGCGAGGAGAAGCACGAAGGCCCCCCGCGTCTTAGCGCGGCCCCGCCTGACATATTTCTCGAGCTGCGTTTGAGAGGTGGGGAGGGGGAGAGGGATGTCGAAGGGAGAGGTGGAGGTGGTGGAAGGGGGGGTTCTCGGCGGCAACGGCAAAACCTTCCACTTCGCGCGTAGATGCCGGCGTGGGTGCCGGCGTCCGCGCTGCCGCCGGCGCCGGCGCAGGCGCCCTCGGTCCCAC